AGAGGGCTTAAGGGAAGGTTTACGGAGTTTAGGTGCTGTTGAGCGGAACTCGACTTCTATTTCGGGTGAATTCCACGGATTCGTACATCAGATGGCGCAGCCACCCGAAAAATTCATGTGTCGTGTCACACATATCAGTAAGTGAAAACGCCAAACCCCCATAAAAGGTCTGGACAAGGAGCAAAGCAAACCCCCATCGAAGGTCTGGACGAGGAGCAAAGTCGCCCATGCTCCCCTAATGTTTCCAGGTGCTCAGACGCAAGTATAGACCCAAAGCCCTCCCAGGCCTGCCCTCATCTTGCTTCGCAGCTGGTCATCTTGCACCTGCACCACGAGACTGCATCCGCGGCAGTTAGATCTGAAATTCCAAAATTCCTCTTTTCGTCTTGGACTGTTTGTGTCTTTTCGTCCCCTGCCTCCTTCCACCAGATGGTGCGAGATTCAGATTCTGATTGGCTTCCTTGCCTCTGCTGCCTAAATTGCAAATCTCGACGATGTGGTGTGTCGGCACCGATGTGCCAACGACTTGCTTGCTTTCCCGCCGTCTGTCTCTGAAGCTTCGGAGTCGGAAGTTCAAGCAGCAGAGAGCTTGATTGCGAGCCATGCTCCTGCCGTAAGGAAGGTATCAGTGTGGCGAGGTTCTGCCCAGCTTCATGTCCAAGTGTGGCGGCCACACTTGGCTAGCGTCCAGTCTTTCTACAAAGGTCTGGCTGTCAGTCGTGGCTGTGGAGCCCAGGAGTTCGCCAGATACGCGTGCAGGCAGCAGAAGATGCAAGAACTTGTCTGATCTAGCAAAATATAACCGTGGTGGACATTCAGACAATGCTCCACCACACCACTACGCTGGGTGCACATATCACATTCTTGACAGAGTCGCCAGGCTGCAGCGCACATTGTAAATGACAACTACCAGAGCGAAGTTTTGGCGGGCTTGCCGGCTGGCTACTCACGGCTACTCGGAGTGCTGCGTATAAGATCTGTAAGCCAAGATGAGTTTTATTGCATAGCGGCGCATAGCGCAAATAAGCTGCCGGTTTTCTTTCCTAACCCGGACGGTATGCAGCCACTGACATGCCGGGGCGCTATACTCGTGCTGCTGGCGGCTTTCTCTACAGCTCAACATAAACTTCTAAGTGAGCAGGGGCATGCGTGCCAGGTCCACACTCGCGATGCAAGACTCGGCGTGACAAGCTATGCAGAAGATGGAAGTTTTGACTCCTTCAGAGTTAGAACCATCAGATCGCCGGGTGGCTACCTCTCAGCATGCATGCAAAACATGGCTTACTGAGTGGCGACATAGCACTATAGTTGAGTAAGGCAGCAGGGCTTCCGAGCTGCTGAGCGTTCAACGCCCTATGTTTCGGCGTCTCAAATAAGCAGTTGGCGTTGCCAAGACTTTGGACTGCATGCCGCGAAGCTACTTGCTTCAGTATTTGCATCTCAGTGTTCCTTGCATGCCGAGTCATCATGCTGGGTAGGCTGGGTATGGACTTTGATGCTTTTGGGACGCAACAGCTCTGCATCTGGAAAACCGTCCAGAGACTTAGCAGTAGCGGCGCTGGACTTGAACATTGAAATGCACTCGAGCCGGCGGTGCTGTTGGAGGCATGACAGATAGGCTTTGTGTCGCTGCGAATGGCTGACATTAATAGGGGACAAGACTTGCATTTCTGTTTGCAGCCCCCGGGTGGCACTGGAGGATAGCCAGCAATGCACAGTTTGAGGAGCGAAGTTGATGCTTTCCATGGTCTCTGCTGAGAGATGATGGAAGGCTGCTACTCTCAACTGCCGCCACGATGCAGGTTGAGCGGGAAGTCGCCATGAGCAGTGGCAGAGCAGAAAGATGCTGGAGCCCCTTGGCAGACTCAGTTCGGACAGGCCTCTCAGAAACATGACTTCGAGGTGCCTCTGCCCGTGCTTTCTCTAACCAAGGCATCAAGAAAGGGCTGGCTGTAATTAGCTGTTTTTCAGCGGACAACACCAAGAAAGTTCTTCTTCTCTGGCCCTGTCGCCATGATATGTGTCGCAGGTAAAGAGGAAGAGGACTGGGTTGTGCCACCGGCTTGACTTTGACCGGAAACTGTCCGCATCCTGGGCAGATGGTGAGTGTTGTCAGTAACGGAGGTTCTCCGGTTGTGTCGTGAGATCAACGTTTTCTTGCATGAGTTCTGCGGCAGCTTCTGGAAGAACCTGCAGCACCAGAAGGCTGCGTGGCAGATGCAGTTGAGGTCCGCAAAGGCCTCGCTGTCCCTGAGCAACGCAGACTTTTCAAGCTTCGCCCCGAAGGTGCTGGTTGACTCCGGCGCTCAGCAGCGAGCCTTGCGTTGAGTGGTTGGGCTTGCGGAGACCCTGAAAGCGGCTGCAGCAGCAGTGCATGGCAGACTACACACGTCGGGCAAGCCCTGCGTTGGTAAGGAAGGCGTATAATAGGGTCTGCGGATATGGTGAGCATGCAGCCTACAACTATAAGCAACCTTCTGGGAGGCACTTCGATGCGAACACGTCCTTTGAATTTGCTCTCTCCGGGTGTGGCGTGAAGCTGCCTGTGCAGCCATCTTGTAGCAGGAAGGACAGGAAGGAGGAGATGCAGGAGGAGGAGGAGGAGGAGGAGGAGGAGGAGAGCATGCAGCCACACCGTGTGAGTTGGAAAATTCAAACGAATGTCCCTGATTGCGCATCTGAAAAGCAAGGAAAGCGCCCTAGTGCCGGCAGTGCCGCTATATTTCCACTCTTGCCCAACAGCCTTGCACGTCCTGCTTTGGCGAAGCAATATCTCCACCGATGGTCCGGATGGACCGGATTTTTTCAAGCGGAACAAAATGTAGCCAGACAGCAAGGTGCACAAGAGCTTAAAAGCCAACTGCTCGCTGAACCCCGCAAAAACGGATGCTGTAACATCTGCAATAATGTTGGTCCTGTGGCCAATACAGGGTGAATAGGGATAGAGTGCAAAACGCTGTTTCCGACGTGTCCAGGGACGAGATATTTCGGACAAATGCACCAAAAGCCGCATGCTGAGACCACCCCAGCGCTCCATGATGCAATTACGCTCCATGCCAGCCGCCAGGCGCGATCCAAAGACTAGTCCACGACCATCCAAGTACAAACCACAACAACTCCATTGTGCCAGCACTGTACTCCCCAAAGAGCTACGTCCGAAATCTTGCAACGTTGCATCTGGGTAAGGCCAAACTTCGACGCACTAGGTGCACAGTGCCATCTACTGGCTCCATGCGTAAACCGCACTTCTATATAGCTCGGCTGGCAGCTCCGAATGGAACCCAACGTTAACATGAATCGCGAAAGAAAGCCATGCAGATCCCCCATCAGGGCGGAACCCGCATGCAACCCGAAACGGGGTTTCAAAAACGATCCCAACAAGGGCACCCGAAACGCACCCAAAAGTGGACAGACAGCCTGGAAGTTGCAAGGTAGAAGTCGGAAAGCTCAAAAGCTCGGAGATTGCTGTGTCCTTTGTATAGGTGTTGGAAATTGGAGTGCCATCTTCCAAGTTGTCGGGTGCATTCATGGTACCACTCAGCATAACTTTGGTTCTGGTACGACAACTACATACTGACCAACAAATGACTTTTATCTCGCCATCGCCATCTTCATTATTTTCGTTATGTCGCTATTGCAGTGTGGAGAGCCTTGGCATTTGCGGTGCTTCCTGTACTTCGGATCCAAGTCCCGAGCATCCATGCCCGAACCGTAAAAGTGGATGGTTCAGTTTAGTCACAATGAACCCGTCTTGATGCAACACCATGAGCAGAACACTGGTCATTTCAGACTTCGTCCGTTTAACACAGCAAACATTTTGGAACCGTTGTACCGTCCACGGTCAAATCCCGCATACGTACTGGTATATATTGCTGTTCGATCTACAACTCTGGTTCTACTGCTGCTACTGCTGCTACTACTACTACAACAACTACTACTTCTTCTTCTAATACCACTACTGCTACGCTACCAGCGCTACTCCTGCTCCTGCTCCTTCTCCTACTCCACGCCTACGCCTACTCCTACTCTTACTCCTACTCCTACTCCTCCTACTGCTACTGCCACTGTAGTGGTACAAAAAACTAGACTACGTCCTCCTCTGCGTTTGCCTCCTTGTGTTGCCTCTCCTCCACATGGCTGTCCTCGTCATCGTCACCATCTGTAAAGCTAGGCTTACATCGACGTTTAGAGTTTAGGGGTTTCGGCAAGGTTGAAAACATGTCGATCCAGTAACCGCAGAGGCTACGGTCACGAGTAGGATTGGGTCGGGCTTATGCCGTTTGTAGAATTCGCGATACCCGTCTATCTGAGCTCGCACCTTTGCGGTACGATGCGATCACTATAAGCCGCAGGTTGCCGTCGTAGATTGTTGCTGCTTTAGTGCTGGTAATTGCAACATCTGTTGCAAAATATCCGCCTGCGAAACGATAAGAACTTGAAAAAACAGCAAATAAGAACACAAACAACAGCAGCAAATAACCCAACAAAACAGCAACACCAACAACACCCAACTCCTCTTCGCTGCCACAGTCACCGCTGCCACCACCCGCCAGGACAACAGCACAAACAGCCACCAGCAGCAGCATCACCACCACCACCACCACCACCAACGCCCCTACCCCGAACTCAATGTTACAACTGCTTTCGAACGAATATAGTGCTGCTACTACCCATGCCCACACCTCTACCATCACTGGATCGGTTACCACTACAATTCTTCCGGCTGCTGCTTCTATTTCTTATGACCATTGCAATCACTATTGCTAAGACTAGTAATCTGTATCATTATATCACTATCGTTGTCAGTATCACTATCAGTACCAGTATCACTATCGTTATCACGCTCACTATCACTGCTGATCACTATCGTTATCACACTCACTATCACTGCCAATTATTATTATTATTATTATTACTACTACTACGACGAATTCTACTAGTAGTGGAACCATTGTGACGGCCACTACACGTTCACAGTTCTCGCACATGCCAGTGCGGAGGTGCTCAAGGACAACGATGCCAATTTGGTGCGCAGCATCGTGACCAGGCACGCAAACCACCCCTCATTTTTCGGTGAGCAGTTGGCCACCAAGATTCCAGGTCACAACAGTGTTTGGCGAGGATAGTGACGTTACACTCAAGCCCGACCTCTGCATGTAGAAGATGGCCCTCCCGGTTGTAAAAGATTTTGAAGCAGCCCGAAGAAAAAACTGCCAAACGGCACGGGGGCTCCCAGCTCATTGAGCTCGAACCTTAAGCCGATCTGGGTTCCCCAAGGCTTCCGTGTTGTAAGCCTCGCAACGTTTTAGCCTCCAGGCATTTCAGGCCCATTAGCCTGACGAAGTCCCGAAGCCGTCGCCCGAAACAACAACTTGTGTGTCGATCTGCATATGGCTCTGGTTCATAAATATTGGGGACAGGACTTCGCGGCTGCTCCCAGTGGCAGAGAAGGCCTATGACGTCATCAAGGATTGCCCGCAGCAGGAAGATTTCAGCTGTGGAAGTTCAAGACAAATTTGAGGCTGGTACAAAGGATGCTCCAACGATGTGTGAGCTGTATATTGGTTGTGCAGAGCCGATCCCTGTCCCGCGAGCAAGCTAGCGATGGCGATATCTTTCTTCAACTCCGACAGAATATGGCGCCTGAATTCGCGCACCAAGTTTGAAAGGACTCTCAAACGACAGCTTTCACGAAGCTGCACCGGATCGCGAGCATGGTGCAGAACACCGAAGGCTCCCTACCTGCTTGTGAGATCCGAGGACATAGGGTTTCATCTAAACAGCTCGATGGGAACATACCCCAAAATCTTGCACTAATTGTACAGGTGCTTCTCCAGGCCTATGAGCATGCATATTGATTAGCCTTATGTCCTTAAGCTGTTTGTGCTTTGCTGCTAGTGCTTTCGCGCATACGTACAGTTCAGGGGTTCGAGCCTCAAACATGTTCAGATGCTGTTTGTGTTCTGCCGTTAATGCTCGCGTGCATGCACACAACTCAGAGATCCGAGGCTCATCTCTCACCCAAGCAAGTGCCGAGCTGACGCTCTTAAGTAGGGGGGGGGGCTGAAACGTGACCAAACCGAGCTGAGTTCCATGACCCAACAGATGAAATCCAAAGCCGAGAGAGGTTGCGGTGATACCTGGGCCAAGATGCTCACGGTTCCCATTGACATGGCGTGCCGTGGATGCTTAATCTTGGGTCATGGCTTGTGCACAATGATACTTCTCTTCAGTCTATTAGCACGAATGCTTATTCGATGGCTCAATAATAGCTTGTTGCTAGCTTGCTGATGGGTAGTTGCATGCTTAGACCTTCGGGGCATGAGTGCAGCCGGTGTCATGCTGCTTGGCACTGGCTCAGCACTGCATGCTCTCGATTGTTTAGCAAGTAGGCTTTGAGCGTTCAATTCTTTCTGTTATGTGACAACGGCCATGCTCAGGTATCCGAAGCTGAAGCTTCTGGAATCGGCTGCTTGGTACAGCAATGTCGGCTAGTGATCGATGAACCTTGAGCTGGTTGTGCTGTTTTGTTCTCTTATTTTCTCTCCCCTATCTCGCTCCCTCCCTCTCTCTCTCTCTCTCTCTCTCTGTTTCTCTCTCTCGTTCATTATTTATTTCTATCTCTCTCTCTCTCTCTCTCTCTCTCGCTCTGTCTCTGTGACTCTCTCTGAGTCTTTCGCTCCATACCATATCATACCACGTCATGTCATTGCATGCCGTATCATGTCATATCGTATGGTATGACCTCCTATCTTATCATGTCTTGTTTCTACTTCATCGAAGCATGGCGCAGTGCAGCCTTGCAGATTTGCTCAGGTCGGGTCAGTGCAGGTCAGATCAGACCCGGATGATATCATATCATGTGTCGTATCTTCTCCGATGGTATTACATCAGAGCATAGCGCAGCACAGGATCAGTTCAGTTCAGTTCAGGTCATATCACGTCATCTCTATAATGAACTCAAAATTCGGGTCCCTTTTTGGGTCCTTATGTATTATAGTACGGCACCTAATATTTAGGGTACCCAAAAAGGAACCCTAATTTTGACAACTACCCACATCAGTACGTAGATGCTTGTACCAAGGATTGCGAGGTCGGAGTTGGCGCTGCCCCGCCTCTGCAGATTCTGCTTTCGTCGACGCTGGGCCGAGGGTTTACGGCTTTAGGGGTAAGGGCCAGGGGTTGTAGGGTAATAGGGTTAAGAGTTTGGGGGGCTTTAAGGGCCCAGGGGTTTTGGGGGCCGGGTGCAGGGTTTGGAAATCAACTGGAAGCGTCATCTGCAACTTTGCCGATTGTCTGGGGTCTTCCCTCGCCGGAACCCCAATATCCAACAATAGCTTTTTGTGGTATGCAGTATACACTTAAGTAGTCAAGTATGGCTTGCAACCATGTTGTGATACTGTAACCCTGCACCCGAAACCCCAAACCCCTCAACCCAAACCCTACTTGGAGGTTCATGGTTAATTATAAGTGGGGTTATAAGTAGGATAACTATAGTTATAACCCCATAATAGGGGACTTTTCTATAAGTACCCATGAACCTCCTAGTCGGCCTTCACTCCAGGAAGACGCCAGACCGGCGCCAGGCTCTGCGGACGCTTCTGAAGAAGGTGAACCAGTCCAAGACTGTTCCATGGCCGAGCCAAGGGCGTGCATAGCGCGGATAGGGCTGAGGGTTGCGGGGTTTTGAGTTTGGGAGGTTTACGCGTTTCGCTTTTGAAGGGCTTGAGCACTGGTGTGATTGTTGATGATACAAAGCCATGCTCGAAGATGATGCACTCCGGAGATCTTTTGTGCTCGTGTACCTCGATCCTGAGCTGGAGCTTCTCAGGTAATGTGCCCAAAGAGAGAAGTGCAAGAGACTCACCGTTGATTAGTAGGGAATGGAGGAATGGGGTACAATTATACTACTACGGTTGATGATATAAATCCTGCAATACCCATAATAAGGAATATACCATAGTTCCCATAGTTTAGGGTCCTTAAGATAGTGCAGGATTTATATCATCAACAGTATTACTACCATTCTTCCATTCCCTACTAACCGAAGGTAAGGAGAAGTACGGAGACCACCGAAAGCTGAGGCCTCTGCAAAGCATTTCTGGAAGGTGCTAGAGAAGGTGGCGCGGCCAGATTTTATGTGTTTGGGGTTTAGGGTTTAGGGGTTTAGGGTTTAGGTATGTGTTCGGGACCGTCATGCCCTTCGCATGGCCAGGGGCCAGCAGCCCTCCTCCACAGGTTTGGCTAATGACCACTTGGGCTTTCATCGTGAATCCGGATTTCTCATGTGTCCATGGCCTGACCCGTTTAGCTACTGTAGGGGCCTTAATAATTACCTATACTCCTTTGCGGGCCCTTGTTATAGTTATAGTATAATGGGCCTGAAACCCTATTGTCAGTATTGAGGCCTCTACAGTATGACGTCTAGGCTGCCTGAGGTCGAGAAAGGAATGTGCAAAAAGTATCGACACCTTCCACTGGTCGTGAAGCAGGCTCGCACCGTTTGTCCTGATTGGGCTCCAATAGCCTTTATAATTAGGGTATTTACCTTGGATTATAGTAGGATCCCCAATATGGTTTAAGGTGTTCCTTAATGAAGGGATATTGGAGTCTCCGGGCACTGAGCACGCCTTAGGAGGGGTGTGCCCAATTGGCACTTCCTCAAGGACAGATGCACGGTCCGGTCATAGTCCTTCCAGTCGCAAGACTCATAGGAGGCCAAAAGGGGTTTTAGCCTATGGGGTTTAGTAGGGATTAGAGTTCCCATAATAGGGTTCATATTAAAAACCCTTACCCCAAGAATCTTAAACCCCCCTTTTGGCCTCCCATCAAAGACAGACACTTTATTTCACGACACGGGTCTGTTGCTGACCCTCTGTAGTTTGTCAGGACCTCTACTGCACACGGGCCGGTGCAGCCTTTAGATAAATCATCCCGTACCGAGGACTATGACAGCGACCCTAATATCGGGACGCTTCAAGAATCGGCCTATATGGATGTTACTCACACGTCAACATTACTGAAGTAAATATCCGTAGAGCCACATAAAACCTGCAGCATCTTCATCAGCCGCTTGCACGAAACTCATTAGGAACAAGCTTAGTAGACAATGAGGGCTTACGGCTTTAAGCTCCGTAAGTTTTCAGACGAGAACATCTATCTGTCTATCTGCATGTATGTATGTATATATATATATATATATATATATATGCACCCGAAACCCTTGCACCCTAAAGCCCTTGTCGGAGGCAACCACCAAACCTCACGCAATGTCAGCCAGCACGCTTCAGGCCGCCGGGCAGGGCCCTGGATTTCTTTGTCTCTTCATGGGCCTGTTTTGAGCTTGTTTGGTGTAAGGTTTTTGGGGTATAGGGTTTCCTCGCAGATAGGTGGAAGCTGTCAAAGGCAATGCCTCGTTTGTATGTAGTGAGCAAGGTTCAATACGTTCCTGTGCTTGCCCAACTTCGTGCCCGCAGGACGTCCTTTGGCCTAAGCTTCTTTAGCACAGGTGCTACGACTACTTTTGGAACCCCAGGTTCCTGTGAGCCATAGGCTTCCCCTGCGGCGCCGGAGTGCGCATTCACGTGGACCGCAGGTCCGAGGAAAAGTGCCGCGCCCGTTGGGGCTACCTTTGCGAGTGGTGCTTTGTGCGAGTTCTGACCTCTGACAGCTGTTGCCAACGTCTCATCGACGTTGGTAGCGGAGCTCAGATCTGGGAGCTCAGACTGGTTGGGCCGCCCACCAGTCCTTTTGGCTTTTCATCTTCGAGCCCTACGGGATCCTTCTGCAGAGCTTGAACTAGGTGCTTCCCTGGGAGTACCTGATCATCCCGAAGACCGAGGCAAGGAGTGGAAAGCCAGTGCAAGGTTTTTGAGAATTCATGTCCGAAAAGGACAGTCGTTTTACTTGTGGATGGGACGGCGACAGCAACACGTGGCCTGATTTCGTGAGGAAGGCCCGCTTAGCGTTTGAAAGGACCCCTCGGAAGCGGCGACATTTACTAGGCCCTGATATCCTCACTCAACTGAGTGGAAGGGCATGGATTGTGACTCAGGAGATTGATCACTCCCAGCTGGTCCGCCGAAATGGAGTCATCTACTTGCTTCAGTTCTTGGAGACCCGACTTGGGCCTGGAGTGGTGCACGATGTCGGCACCCGCTTGGAGAACTTGATCTTGCGGCTCCGTCGGCCAGCTGGGCAGAGCTTCTCAACTTGGGCTTCTCGCTTGCGGGAGGCCTATCGACAACTCCAGCAGGCGCTGGGACGTGTGCGGAAGACCCAGCCGGCACCTACCTCCGGGTTCAGTCCGAAGTCTTCTGGGACACGCGGATCACCGGCGAGAGCTTCTGGCGAAAGGAGTTCGGCGACCATGGAAGAGCCCCACGGCGAGGCGGACACCGAGAATCTGGAGACGGAGACCCTCCCTGGCGAGGGCCCGGCCGTGGAAGAGGACGATGTCGTGCAGGTGGAGTCCCCGAGAATTTCACCGACTCGCTCGAGGACGCCCTTTACCACGCGTGATGCACAAACTTCTATGTCTGCATGGAGAAAAGGGGGCCGGAAAGACAAGGACAGTGACAGCGATACTTCCCAGCATGCGCTTCAGGACCTTAAGCTTTGGGAATCCTACAATGAGGTCTTGGAAGAAGCCCTTCCTTCGGAGTTGCTGGGATGGTTGCTACTGAGGCGAGCTGGACTGTCCAACTCGGCTCGCTTGAATATCCAGGCGGCAGCAGGAAATTCCCTACGCCTGGACTCCATCGAGGCCGCGATGAGGGCCATGGAAGATGAGCTACTTGGACAAGAAGTTCATCACCGTGGTCATGGAGGAGGTCCCCGACGAAGGACTTTCTGGGTTGAGGACCAAGGGCATTGGTCCATGCTTCTTATGGACGAGGAGGACATGACCGAGATCCTGGAGACCACCGAGGTCCACTACTATGGAGAGGATCACTCCCTGGACGAGGACCAGAGCGCGGAGGATTACTGGGCTCCCGAGTTTGATGAGGGCACGACATGGTGGGGTGATGCAGAATGGCAGGACGACCCCGGCTCGCAATTGTCTCCGGAGGAGCTGAAGGAAGTGGAAGAGGCCTATGCCATGGCGGACGGAAAGCTGCGGAACTTTGTTCAGGCGAAACAGGCAGTGAAAGCGCAGCGGTTGTCAAGAGGCTTCTATCCTTTTCAGCCGTCCTCCAAGGGCAAGAAAGGAAAGGGAAAGGGGAAAGGAAAGAAAGGCAAACGGCCTTTCCTACCTAGCCCCAGCTCGCCAGCAAGTGCTACCTCGCTTCCGGTGATGCAAGTGGACTCAGTTTATGCGATGAGGCCGGGAGACCAGTCTTACACCGGTTGCTTCATCTGTGGAGATAAGAACCACACCTTCCGTGAGTGCCCTCGACGGAAAGGAAAAGGCCGCGGCTCAGTGAACTTCAATGCGGCGGGCGTCTTCATGCTCTCCGAGCCCGAGGTCCTTGAGACTCCCGAGGTGAAGGGCTTCAGCCTTGAGGAGTCCGTGATGATGATCAGCAGCCCCGAGCCAGAGGTCATTGAGCACCTCCCGGGAGACCTCGAGGAGACTGTGCTTCTGCAGGAGAGACAGACGTCAGTTGATCTTGCAGGGTTTGCGGTGTTAGATTCTGGAGCGACTGAAACAGTGTGTAGCCTACCTGCCCTAGAAGCCCTGATGATCGCCCGGAGACAATCCACTGGAAGGAGCGACCAGGTGCAGGTGACTGATGAACCTCCGAAGCGTTTCAAGTTCGGGAATGGAGCGCATGGCTATTCAGCTTCTCATGTTCTTTTGCCGCAAAGATTGGGAGAGTTGTGTGTGAACCTTGGAGTCTTCACGTTGGACGTACAGGGTGTACCGTTGCTTATCGGAGTGAAAACATTGAGGAGATTGCATGCTGTGCTCGACTTCCACCGTGATGTGATTGTGTTTGGTGCAGTTGATCCCTCAAAAGGGGTTCCCCTCAGGCGATCTCGTACCGGCCACCTTCTGCTGGACTTGAGAGAGGATTGGATGTCTCAAGCATTTGACTTGCTTCAGCCAAGGGCTGGAGCCGTACTGCTAGCGCAGCCTGAGAAAACCGAGTCTGCCTTTATGATCGACGGAGGTGTGCAGTCTGATCAAGAGCAGGTTGAGTGCCAGTCAGTGCATGAGACAGGTCATGGAATAGCCGTTGCGCAGAGTGAGCCTCATGCTGTTGAAGGTGCTTGCGAATCTGATAGAGATCCTGCCCCTCCTTCTCACGAGTGTCAACATGAAGCGAACCCGAATGCCGTGGCCCAAGATCGAAGCCGAGAGCTTCCAGTGATGCGACCTTTTGGTATCTTAGTGACTCTCCTTGCTTCTCATGGCCACGTCTTCGGAGCTGCCGGCGACCACCGTGAGCAGTGGGGAACTCAATTCGAAGGGGGCCGACAGCAAAGGGCGGACGAAGCCGAAGAATGTGACGGAAAAGTCGATGCCCCTCGACACGTCTCGTACAGTCGAGGCGGATCCTCGGGATCCCCGCTACGCGGGAGCCCCATGCTTCAGCCACCATGTCCCGGAGCCGCCGGGGAAAGGATCACGGAGCGGTGCGAACCAGCACGGCCAATGGGTGCACTGCAAGACATGCGGCCTACGCCTGTCGTACACCCCCCGAGTGGGGAAGCACGGACTCCGGCGATCCCCTGGCCCACTGCCGGAGGACACGTCTCAAGCAGTCAAGGGGGAGCTTCCGGATGTGGCAGTGGAAAATCTCCGAGACAAGGAGATCGGATGGGCTGCTGCGGAGAAGTCCGCGGAGAAGCATTTGGCCCAGGTCCGTGCCCAGCGTCAAGCAGCCGTTGCAAAGACCCGTGGAGCAGCTCCCAAGGCATTGGCGCGATCGACGGCGGCGACACCCAACGGCTACCCGGACTCCCATGCGACGCAATCATCGGCTCCAACGACCCCGTCCGAGACCATCGTGGTGACCGACAGCGAGAACCTCTCCGCGACTCCCGGGCGAAAGGCGCCCAGATCCCACGAGATGCCAGCCGAGACCCAAGAGTACGAGAGCCGCGGAAAGTGAACTTCAAGAACCCCACAGAGTTGCAGGACATGAACCTCGAGAACCCGGCAGAGTTGCAGGACATGAACGTCGAGAACCCGGCAGAGTTGCAGGACATGAACGTCGAGAACCTGGCCATTTTTAGTAATGAGCAGGCGCTTGAGGAGTGTGCCAAGTCCCTGTATCAGTCCAACAGCTTCACGATGGACTCCATGGAGACTCTTACGTCCCTCATGAACCCTATCCAGTTCCAGGCAAACCGTTCATTCTCCAAGGCGAAGGGTAAGGACTCTGCGTTGCTGCACTTGGGCATGTTCAGTCATGGCAAGTTCTGTGGTGTTCTGAACAAAACATGGCGTTTCCCATGGGTGACTCGGTATGCCAATGCATGGTTGAAGGCGCAGCCCAACATGAGTGAAGCCACTTGGACCTCCTTGGCTTTTTCGGTGAATACCGAGGCCCGTCCCCATCGCGACCTCCATAATTTGGAGGGCAGCGCCAACTACCTCGTGACCTTCGGCAACCATTCTGGCGGTGAAGTTTGGCTTCGAGACCCTGGCGAAGCTGCAAGCGGTGAGCTGTGGAGGCGAAAAGGACCGAATGGCCAATCCATGTTGGGAAGCGTGAAGTCAACGTGGCATGAGATTGTTTCCTTTGATCCAAAGAGTTGGCATGCTACGATGAGATGGTCAGGACGAAGGGTTGCATTGGCAGCCTATACTACCAGGTTGGTTGTGCGGGCCCAGCCTGATATTCTTCAGGACCTCCGAGAATTTGGTTTCGTAGCCCCGAAAGGTTCTCAAGCTATGTCCGGATTGTTCCAGATCAAGAGTGAGGTTGAGAATGATGAGGTTATCCTCCAGGAAACCGAGAAGGACGAGATCATGGCGGTGGTGACGGAGTACCAGGAGATCTTGACTGAGAACCCGGAGGAGACAAAGGGCAGCGCTACCCAAATTCTTGAGCTTGGTTCCCCTGGGACCTCCTGCCTCCGGGATCGCTTGGAGTCGGGAGGAGCGGAGGTGACGACGGTGTCATTCCGAGATGGTTGTGATCTGACTACTCAGGTTGGCACTGCAAGGACTTCTGAGATTGTGCGGTCTACTGGGCCCCAATGGGTAGTCTGCTATATACCACAAGGGTCCAACCTCCAACCTGAGGACCCTCGATGGGACAAGGCCCGCCTTCGACAACGAAAAGTCCTTCGCAACTTCCTGAAGGTTTCCTGTGACGCTCTGTCAGCTGGATGC